ACACTACTGGTGTTCACACTAGTAATTTGCCAAAGACCGGCGCTCGTCGCTCCGGTAAAACTTTTAAAACTAGCAAAACTGATGTGTAACATAATAGTGACCTTCTAAAACACTCGGTGAGAATCTGTGGCCACCGGAAGGTACTGAAAAAAAAAAACTTTAAAAAGTGAACTGAAAAGAATAAAAGATAAATTTTCACACCTGCCCGAAGACCACAAAGAAGAAAAGTAATCTTCTTGCACTGATTCTTGAATTTTCTTTTGTAAAGTTTTTTTTTTTGATCTGAGATCAAACAGATGTTCTACGTCGACTGTCAAAATCTGCAATATTCAGTTTCAGTGAAGAGATTGAAAATCGTTACCATAAGGGCGCGCAAGTTGTGATGGGATGAGACTCACGTGCTCATGACCCAGCCTCAAACCCAGTGTCTTTTCAAAATGGCGGAAGGCTTGTCTGTCATCCTAGGAAGACTCTGGTTACAAAAGTACGCATGATAAACTGATGTCTTTGTTTGTTAATCTGGTTTTTTGTTTATTTGTTTGTTTGTTTGTTTTTTTGTCTACAGTTTAGAGTTGACGAACGCAAATAATGATACTGATGCCTTTGAACTCTACGGGCAGCAAAAGACCGATGAAGATTTCATTCGCTACGTGTACAGTATAGTTAACCAGCTTCTCCCTGCCGTAAAACGAGATCTTTACGAGGATATCGATGGAGAGAGAGTCAGCCCAGACAGCGAGCTAAGCCCGGAGAAGTCTCTGTTGTGCCCTGGAACTGTGAGAATGCACAGAAAGGCAAACACATCAGACGAGAACAAAGTTTTGATTAAGAACAGTTTCAACCTTTCCGATCTTGTCAACGTGTCATCCGAAATCACCTATGCTGATTTGATGTTCATAAACAAGAGTAACGGAATGGTGACAGAAAGCCGCGCCTACTTGTCAGAACAGCTCAACTTCGTAGAACCAATCCACAACAAAAGTGGTTCTGACGTGACAACGATGAACGCCACCCTGCAAAGTAATATAACACTCATTGAAGCCAACCCCAGAGCAGGCGNAGGAAGACTCTGGTTACAAAAGTACGCATGATAAACTGATGTCTTTGTTTGTTAATCTGGTTTTTTGTTTGTTTGTTTGTTTGCTTGTTTGTTTACAGTTTAGAGTTGACGAACGCGAATAATGACGCTGATGCCTTTGAACTCTACGGGCAGCCAAAGACCGATGGAGATTTCATTCGGTACGTGTACAGTACAGTTAACCAGCTTCTTCCTGCCGTAAAACGGGATCTTTACGAGGATATCGATGGAGAGAGAGTCAGCCCAGACAGCGAGCTAAGCCCTGAGAAGTCTCTGTTGTGCCCTGGAGCTGTGAGGATGCACAGAAAGGCAAACACATCAGACGAGAAGGAAGTTTTGATCAAGAACAATTTCAACGGTTCCGATCTTGTCAACGTGTCATCCGAAATCGACTTGGACATAACCTATTCTGATTTGATGTTCATAAACAAGAGCAACGGAATGGTGACAGAGAGCCGCGCCTACTTGTCAGAACAGCTCAACTTCGGAGAACCAATCCACAACAAAAGTGGTTCTGACGTGACAACGATGAACGTAACCCTGCAAAGTAATATAGCACTCACTGAAGCCAACCCCAGAGCAGGCGGTTACTATGCTCACGAGGAATTGGCAGCTGTTGACATTGATGCATTCGTTAAACTTCTTTTACCGAAGTCTGACGGAAATGTCTTAATAAACGAGAAACAAGTTGAGGTAGCGTGTGACTGTCCCAATGCAAGTGGTTCTTGCATTAATGACCCACACTGCTCTGAGAACA